CTATTAAATGCAACGTAGATGACATTGACTTTTAATTTCAAGAAAAAAACATTGTTATTATAAACTCAAAACACTGTTTCACTCATACTGAGATTGCAGAGAAGTAACTCAGACTAAATTTCTTATGGAATTACAAGTTACAGGAATCCTGGACTAAGCCACCAGTGTGCTGGTTAACATTCAGCCTCTTTTTTTGGCTTGTGCGATCTTAGCTCCCTGACCAGGGATCGAACCTGGGCCCACGGGAGTGAAAGCACAGAGTCTTAACCACTGGACCACCAGGGAATTTCCCCATTTAGCCATTTTTACAAGCTACTCTAGAGTCCCTTCAAACATAAACTTGCCCCTGCATTCTAGGGCACTCTGGGTCTGTGTTAGATCAAGGTAGAGAGCATGAGGTTTTTGGTCTGTGTCTCCAGAGTAAGGCTGGGCTTCTGCCAACCTTCCTTCATCCTTTCTTCTAGTCCATAAGAAAAGGGGAAGGTGAGCCATTTCACTCTTATTTGGAATTATTCCAGTGTGGTGAGATTATCACAGGCTAGGCTAAAATTTAAGAAAAAACTGTTTACAGTAACAAGGGAGGCAAATAAAAATTAGCATGATCATTCATTCAGTCATACCTCTCACTCCCCACTTATTGGTACGATTGTAATAGGGGAATGTCAAGTGAGGAAATGAACAAGGAAGGTGAGCCAGGAAGACTTGCAGGGGTAGAGAAAAAGCAGGAAAGACCCGTGTCTGGCAGTTTAAAGATGGGCTCTGGGCATCACATGTGGGAGGCCCGTTTCCTAATAAAGGTCAGGGTGCAAATGAGGCTGGTAGGACCAGGAAGTCAGAGAGCAAGATGGCGTCCTGGCAATCAAGACACTGCCAGTGTGGATTCCCACATCGAAGCTGAGCAGCTAGTTGTTTTCACAGCCTAGCAAATTTATCTTGTAGCAAAAGAACACAAAAACAATTCCCAGGCAGATCCTACTTTTTATTTTCAAGCATTTTGAAATCCTTCCTTAAGTGAACTTCACAAGTTTGCAAGTGTTCTGGTGGTTAAAACAAACAAAACCAACCAACAAACAAGTAGTCGACAGTCACTGGAAAAAGCAAGAATTTAAATTTACATGATTACATTTCAAATCTTCACGTTTTATTCCAGAAGCCAGGATTGGAGGATTAGAACTCAGGGATGGCTGTGGGCATTTACAAGGAGCTCTTGCCTCCTTACAAGCTGTGGTCTCTTCATAGGCTCTCCTATGTACCTTTCATCAGAATAATCTGGGTTCCAAATTTCTCATAGAAAACTGCATCTGTGTGACCAGCAGCAATTCCGAACTTGACTGGCCTGTGTTCTCCAATTTCAGTTCCAAATACACAGCAGAGAATAACATCCTTCTTTATTAAAGGGACCCAAGGGGCTCCAATTTAGGTAGCATCCTTCCTGCTAAAGAGTGAGTTGGATCTCACCTTTCTCTAGTTTCCTATAATAAAATTTCCTATTTGATAGGATGCATACATACTATATAACCTATGTTTTGACAACTTCCTTAGGGAAGCAAATACAGCATGATCAAATTTCTGTTGTCAGAATCCCTCTGGTGATTACACCTATTTTAAAGAAAACTGAAATCCGCTACTTTTTGAGTCAGCCAAATGTCCACCAAATAGTTGAAAACATTGATGTACGTGTATTCTAAAACTTACTAAATAATGGGTCAATAAGATACTGGTATTTTTCTTGACAGTTCAGAAAGGTTGCCAGGTTAAACTCAGACCTAACATGGGCGTGTGAATACATATACACCAGTCCACACATATGAAATTTTCAACTCAACAATGAGTGGGCCCAAAATGAAATGGAGTTTGTGACCTAGATTTCTTTGGGTCCTGCCCTGTATCTGCTTCAAGCGTCAAATTTTGTTCATTCCATTTTCCAATCTAACAAGGATTTGGAGCTAAAGGGTTATCTGTGTGTGAACCCAAGAAACAGACATGCTAAATATTTTTCACCACACATAAGATAACTTCATTAATTCAATAGTGCCTGTTAGTCCATTAATGTGGATTCTTTAAGAGTTCATTAGTGCATGCTGCGGGTCAATGCTTTATGTCTAAATGTACCCTGGCTCATTGTGCTCCACTGAAATGAAAGGTCACAGGTTCCTGCATTCCGTATATGTGTAAAGCAAGTAACACATAAAACAAACTAAAACAAGTAGTGCAGTATTTTGTTGACTATATGTTTTCTTTTTCTCCTTAGTGTTAACCTAATGCAGTTGTTGGAAACATGCATTCGCTGCTAATTCAAAGCACCCTGAGCACTCCTGATTCCCTTAAAACGAAAATTTTCCAGATTTCCAGATTCAGGATGGACTCTGGCAAGAACATTTTATCTTTATTATTATTATTATTTTTGGCCACTCCATGCAGCATGCGGGACCTTAGTTCCCTGACCAGGGACTGAACCCATGCCCCCTGCACTGGGAGTGTGGAGTCCTAACCGCTGGACCGCCAGGGAAGTCCCAAGAACATTGTGTCTTTAAATGATGCATTTACCCTATATGATCCAAAGAAGATCAGCACAGAGTTCACTAGTTATTAACTAATAATTAATGTAATTCGATAGTCCTAAAATTTTCATGCATCATTCAGTAAGAACACCACAAAAGTAATCTGCATGTGTTTATATTCATTTCTTGTTCAAAAAAGGTATTTAGAGTCTCCAGCCATCATAGGTCTCCAGTGAGAATAAAAAAGGATTACAAGCACAGCTAGACAAATGATTCAATTATGTAATAAAATTACCAAGATCTTATTGATTTTCACCTTGAGAACTAAAATGATCAGAAGGGGAGTGATCAAATAACCAAAGGAAAGTCATTTTGCAGGGCTGTTACAGAGGTAATCCTGAACACCTCTGGTGAATTAGAATGACCGTCTGCTTTAAGAGTTTCTGGGGTGAGAACTCTCCTTGAATATTCCCATCCTTTTCACTCCTGCACATGAAGGCTTTAATTGGTAAAGGCAAGGGAAGAGTTTGGAGTGCTAAGTTCCACACCTGTTAGCCAAAACTATTCAACTGGAAAGATGATTCTACATCCACCGTTACACAGAAAATTCAGAAATGATCATTGGGAGAAAAGCCCAATGAACATTTAGCATCCGTAAAAGTGAAGGACCAGCACTGCTGAAACCTCAGTTGGAAAATCATTGCTAGGAGCCCTGATCCAGTGCCTATTATTTAAATTTACCTTTTAACCTGGACAGCTGAAATAGGTGGAGACTAAACTAGAAAAAGTCTTGAAAAGTATCTGTTCATATTTTACTGCCAAGATCCCTGAACTTCAAATTTAAAAGTATGACACTTAACTGCAGTTGAGTTTGGCATTCAGGCTTGATTCTTGGACAAATTTCCCATAATTCTTAAATCATTAATCTGGGTTGGTAAGCAACTCTCCCAACATCTCCAGCTAATGGAGAAATCACTAACATTTACCACAAGTCACAGGAAGCTTTCAAATTGAAATAGGAAATTGAACATCTTCAGCAGAAATCGTCCCACTGAGACGTAAGTTTCATTTTAAGGCACTAATAATAAAGGGTATGAAAACAGCCAAGAATAAGTCAGATCTTTCCAGAAATACAAGACATTTCAAAAACACAAGTGAGGCACCTATCTGACCTACTTTAGCATCCAAGGGGACAGAGAATGGAAAGGTTTTCATGGCTGCTTGGTTCAGCTCTTTCCTTTCTCCCAAACTTATTTACATGTCTCAGATTTCTATTTCCTCAAGAAGCAGTAGACAAAGGTGACAAGGATGTGGAAAAACAAACAAGCAAATCTAGTTTGTAGCCTAGTCTCATGATTAATTAATTTCGTATTGACAGCATGGAGTGCTCAGACCTAAGGTTTTTAAGTACTTTTTAAAATTACTTAGACCACAAACCCAGTGTTTGGAACTGTAACAATGTGCTCTTTTCTATTGTTCTGAGGGGGAACTGTAAAAGGATAATAAATTTTTCAAGGCTGTGTAAATGGAATTTGTTCATAGCAAATTCTAGAGGGAAAAAAAAAATCTACTTAGAAACTTCAGTTCCAACAGGATTTTCCTATACATTCCAATGAATTCAATTTTGCCATGAGAAAAGAACTCAATAAAAACAGGGTTCAGGTCAGTTAGGTCAGGAGACCAATGTCAGCAAATGAGTGATTGTGGAGGTACGCGAGGTGGGACAGGGTTCAGCTAAAGCAAGAATGTTTCCCGTGCACACAGACATGCACACACATAGCTGTGTGCTCACACGAATTTTTAAAGTGTGCACATGGGGAAGGCTCAACACTATTAGACACGAGCATAGATATCTGTTTGCATTTCTACAAAGGAAAGGATCTGACACACGTCACACACCCACAGACACTCTTGCACGAGGACCAGTGTGGCTTGCACAGACTCAGATCCGGAGAATCCTTCTAGAGCTGCCGGCTTCACAGGAATGATTAGTATCTGCGGGATTACACTTCCTTTTGATGTGCAGAATTTTTATCTGGTTTTCTTTCCTGAAATATACCCTTTTCAAGAGTATGAAACCAAGTCCGGGAGGAACTCATCTTGATTCCTCGATAGACATGACTCAGAACAGGAACTACAGGAGTCAAACTAGCAATAACATGGCCCCTTTGGGAAGTTATTTCTGGATTTACTGGGAAGTAGACCTAGACTTAAACAGTTTCTAGGCAAACAACAAAAAGCAGAGCTCTGGGTGGAGGTGGAGATGGAAATGCCTGAAAGTCCAGAAATCCATACAAACAATTGAGCATAACTTAAAGGAGTTTCAACTAAGTTATCACCTCGACTGAGTTTGCTGACTGAAGAACTCCTGCTGACTCATGGAACTGAAAGATAATAATTGATATGTCAATATTTCTTCTTAGGAAGGCTCAGCTGGGAGTGATGTGGTGGGTATTAAGGGTGGGGTAGGGACAGAGGCCTAAGGCTCAGGTATGGCTCCTAAGGTTTCTGCTTGCCTGATTTCGAAGGAAAGGGCGCTAAAGCAAAAGGATCAGCAGCTGGCAGCTCCGTAGTCCTGGAGGAAAGGGATGTGATGGAAACAGAGCCAGCTATCGACTGCTTATTGGTTTGCGAAACAATTTTGTAGGCAGCGATGGGCTGGGCTTCTGGACTTGGCTCATCTTCCGGGCTATAGTGACGGGAATATTTGGATAAAGACTGGGGGCGGAATGGTTTGCCAGCCACGGGGGCTGAGACAGATTCTTTCTGGGGCTGAGGTCCTTTGTTTCTGTCATTAGGATGGGCGCCAGATTCCAGAGAGGTGCCCCTGGGAGAGACGCTGTCAAGATGGTCTGCTGCTTGTACAGAATGGGAGGGGTGGTTAGACGCTTGGGCAAAACCAGCCATGGAATACTGAGCTCGGACAGAGGGATGCACGGCTCGATCAAGGCCCGGGAGCAGAGGGATGTCATTGGTCTGACGAAGGAGACCGGGCTGCGCAGTAGACTCCGGGGAGGCGCTCTGGGCAACGGTTAACTCCTCCATGCTTTTCTTCTTAGTGAAAGGAGCTCTCAAGAACACGTCCGCCTCCTCTGGCTGGGAAGGAGCCACGCTGCCCTTGCAGACAAATGGGGCTTTGGTGAAAATGTCCACGTCATCAGCGGGAACCCTCGAGCTCCTGAAGGGAGCAGTGGCGAAAACATCTGGCTCACCGACTCCATCAGCGGTTGGCTGCGTGAGGGCTCCGAACTGGTTCTTTCTTCCACCTTGCGCTGCCTTGGCTTGCTCAGGGGAGACTTCTGGCTGAGTGAAAGGAGTGGCTCCTCCCAGCTTCCCCTGCGGAGGCCTGCAGCTCTCATCCTCTTCTGACGACTCCAAGAGGAGAGGTCGAGACCCACTGCAGTCCAGCATGTCCCCCTCGAGGTCGGTCCCCTCCTCTTCACTGCTGTGGAACGAGCTGTTGCTGGAAGGGCCATCTCGGGCCAGGTAGTCATATTCTAAACTGTTCTGAGTTTTCATTCCAGGTACTCTGGAGGGGTCTGGATACAGGGGAAGGCCTTTAAAACCCGTTGATTCTTTAAAGTGCTCTACAGTTATTACAGGATAGGGATTGGGCTCTCTCTGGATACCTAGAAAAGCACAAAACGCAGAATTAATGCACAGGTACATTCAACTCTCCTTGGAACATTTAATGGTCAACCCATGGCAGAAACATTGTGGAGCCAAATAATAGATGTTGAAAATGGAAAAGGAAAAACAGAAAAAGAAAAGTCAGGCAAGGAAACTGCACACAAACTGGAACACAACCAATCACGGTCTCACATTTCGGAACACGATAGGCACGATGTGCAGGAAAGGAGATGAAGATGTTAGGCACAAAGACATTGAGCGTAACTATGCAATGCTCCTACGCACGGGGCCAGGCACTGACACCTGCTCTACCTGGTGCTGGCTCAGGATGGAATGAAAACAAACCCAGTCACTCATCTCCACATCCGCCATGACAGTTCTGGCTGATGCAGAAATACTGTCTGGGGACACGTGGTCATCTGCTCCACACTGCCTGTAATTGAGGATGGATCCTCCCCCCCG